TTGTATTCTGATCAACTACTGACCAACAAATTAGCCTTCGAATTCTTATTATCACCTGCTTTCTTTCTGAAGTGCTCAGTACGATGAAGCTTTCACTTGGCGTCATGTTTGGCTAGACGAAGTTGGAAACTGTTATATGTTTAATCGAGGCCTGGATGATAATGGGAAGAATGTTGATATATACAGGTCAACCTTGCCTGGAGATATGAATGGTAAGTGAATTTTTGAGCTTTTGATTTACTATTTATATATATTTTGTTGAGGTCATATCCTCAACAATCTAGTTTTTTATGTGTTTTCCCGCCGTGTCGTAAGTGTGAGTCCGCTAACCGGCTAATATCGCGGTCTCCTTGTGTGAACGTGTATGTTATTGTGTTTGATGGGTTGCGACGTGTTTATGTGCGTTCATCTATTGGTAAGTTTTTTAGTGTTCGCTCGCTAATATTTGTCGTGATTGTAATGAATTGTTCTTTGTTTATTAGGATTTTACTTTGGGAAGTGAAATTGTAAAACCTTTGGATGAATATTAAAATAAATGCACGTTTTCGCGCCAGTCAGTGTGATATCACCCTACATGTTTGTCATGTGAATTGCGATCTTCTGTGTAAGTGTACTTAATCTTGAGAAATACTGTTGTCGGTGGTGACTGACGTTTCGACCACCGGAACGGAAGTCATCTTCCGAATCCAGCGAGAAAACGAGACAGTCAATGGAACTTATAAATATTTATCTGGATAAATCAAAGCGAAGGAGGCAGTTTTTTTAAAATCGATATCGCCGTCGTTGTGGTTGTGGTTGTGGTTGTGGTTGTGGTTATGGTTGTTAAAAGGTAAGAAAAGATAGACTGATGAGCGCTGTAAAAGCTGTAAGAAAACGGTTGACTACAGACAAAATCAGGCAAACTGAATTATTATCAATTTGGTCCCCAAGAATATCTAACATTTTTAATCAATAAAAATCAATAAGCTACTCAGTTAAATAAAACGTTTCATGTACCCTAATTAAACCCGAATTCCGTCAAACTTCCTAGTATCCCACCATTTTAGAAAAAAAAACTTTTCATTTTAGCTTAGTATGACTATTGATTGATTATTTTCAGTTTATTTTTAGATAGTTTGCAGTTGCCCAGTAGCAGTTATATTTACTCAATTATCTTTCCTTAAATAGGACTACAGCTGATTTTGAATGTTGAGCAGTACGAATATTTAGACGACATATCACCATATGCTGGAATTAGAGTTGCTATAGCAACACAAGGCCAAATGCCATTCCCTCAATCACATGGAATAGACCTTGCTCCCGGTTTCTCCACTAGCATTGAATTAAGAAAGGTAATGGCACTTTTGTAAGATAATTCYGCTTTTCTGCAACGAAGTCCCACAATCCTGTGTTAAAAAAGTAAGATAGTTAAATATTTATAATAGATATTTATATTCTAAAAACTAACTTAAAAAAAACATAATTTATAAAAATATGAAAACATGGTTGAAGCACAAATTARTTTTTGATCTGATCAACCGAAATAAGCTGTCTTAGGGCATATATAYACTTCAATCCAAAATGGGGCACGGCCAGTTGAAAACGAGGCATCCAGGGCCAAACTTACAAATTTACAGTATTTTCTTGTAATTTKATGCTGCAAAATTGTCGCGTTCCTGAATGTAAGAAGAAAAGAAAGACAGAACAAGTGAACAAGTGTATACTATGCATTGGCACTATGTTGTTTCTTTGCATTTGGCCCTGGATGCCTCGTTTTCATGTAACACACTCGGCCGTAAGCCATTTTGGACTTGGGTGTATTGCTTTGGAGTTTATTAAAGAGAAAATAGCAAATTCTGATTACGAAGATTGTGCCACTCCAGAGCCCTCCTCCACTCAGTCCCATGTATGGATAAGTACCAAAACCAATGGATAACTGGCGGCATATAATGTTGGCCGTAAACTTTCTGCGATGAATTAGCATCCCTCYCATTTAATAGGCGTCGTGAAACTCTGCGTGTTATTATTATATAGAACCTCTGGTACTATTTTTATTTCTGGTTTTAGTTTTGATATGTCTGCTCGTTTTAAGGGAGGGAAAGGGTAAAGATCACGTAAATTGTATGGATTATAAATAAAACTTATATMTGCCATTTGGAGAAATCATCCTGGTGTTGTTCTGAAAATTGAAAAACTTTAGTGTATAAGARACTATAATGGTTTTCAGTTATTGATTTTCAATATTTGATTCCTATCGTCTTTAGAACCACATTACAAGATTGGATTCGTTTAGGAACAACAGTTGCGAAAAGACTGGTAAACTAGAGACTGCGAGCGTGTTTTGGCTTTACAACATGACCTACTCAAAAATRGTGAATACCGTGATTTGATTGCAGCCAACACCCGTACTATTGTTGTTAAATTCGATAAATTMAGCTTTATTCCTTTTTATAGATTGTAAAAATATCTTGCTTTCTCATTTTTCTTTTCAGGCATGTAAAATGTCCTGYCTTATTTCAATGCAAACCCATAAATGTAAATGTGCGCAGTTCCATCTAGCGACTATCAAGGACTATCGGTTCTGTGATTATTCCAACACCACAATCAGTAAGTTACCGGGATACTGAGTTACTGAGATACTTGCTACTTATATGGCAGTATACAAAGTAGTAAACTAGGGGCAGGCTGTGTCCATTAGTTTGGGGCATGTGCATTGTACAGGCAATTCTCATCAGCTCGCATTTATGAGACGTTCTCGATCAAGGACAATGAAAATAAACGATCAAACGAACGAACAAACAAACAAACAAATTAAATAAAAAACAACATAAAACAAATAAAACAAAACACACACGAAAAAAACAAACACACACACACACACAAAAAACCCCAAATATTAATAAACAAAACAAAACAAAACAAAACAAAACAAACAAAAAAAACCAACAAAAAAACCAAAAAAAACACAACAACAACAAACAACTAACACAGCTGAGGAAGCAACCAAATGACAAGCAAAAACCAAGCAAAGTAGAAAACAACATCCGAAATGCAGGAAGTAGAGAATATTGTAGGTATTTATTACCCAGGTATCATTCATGCCCTTACCACGTGCAACAGATAAGAGCTGCTATTATGTATTCTGAAAGCATTTAGTCATTACCAGACAAATCAAGGTAGCCGATATAGGGGACTAGATCTTCGGTTTAATGTCTTGACAGCTGACAGCATCATTTCTTTGTTGTGCATAAAAGATGCATGGATATGGATATAATTCAAAAAAATAAATAAATAAATAAATAAAATAAAATAAATTATATTATCAGGAGAAAGACAAATGGTATGAAATGGGAAAACATTACTTCTAAGTCAAAAATGTCTATTTTTTGTATAGGCATATTGAACGTCTAATACTTTGAACGCGAAACGAGTTCGTGGTTCATTAAATCCGGCTTGCTTTTTCATTATTTTTGTTTTAGCTGAATGCCTCGATGATGTATATAGCCAGTTTCTCGATGGAATATGTGACACAAAATGTCCCCCTCCCTGTTCGTAAGTATCATCAGAAAGCTTGGTTTTTATGCACATTACTATTAGCGTCKCATTGTTTGTACTGACTTGCTTTGTCGGTTAAGGCGAAATGATTATCGGAGGAATTTACCGAGCCACGAGTCTTSGAAGTAAATTCAACATTCACGTGATAATCACTGAGCCTGATGGGAATAAGCGTTTTGTATAAGTTTAGACTTGAATATCAGAGAAAAGTGAAAATTAAGGATTAAAAAAACGTTTTAGTATTACTTTCATTTAGAAAGCTTTGGAAGACTCATAATCACTGCTCCAACATTTATTGTCGTCTCAGATTCACTRGTCGCTAGACCATGAATCACAGCACGATAAACTCTACAGTCAAGTATAAAATCATACTAAATTCCAATATTAATTGTTGATTTAAAATCATACTTTTTAATTAAAAGAAAAATGCTATCTATTTTAGGGAGGTTTACTTTACTACAACTATATCCTCATCGAAGTGGCCTTCAAATAGTTACAAGGTTGGTTACATGGGCGGATCCAGRATTTTGTTCAGGGAGGGGTGCTGTGCACAAAATTAACCCAGGGAGGGGTACACCCTTAGAATCAAWGGGAAAAACAGTATTATATTGGTAATCTTCGAAGTAGGAGCACAAAGTGGAACCAGGGAGGGGTGCGCACCCCCTGCTCCCCTCCCCTGGATCCGCYCCTGGGTTAAGTCAAAGAATGAYAACCTTAATCTATCAGTAACCACTACTTGAAATTGATTTGATAGTCAAAGCTCTGACTTGTCATTGGCGTCTGGCGTACAGTTAAAATCGGTTAAACCGCCAGCACTACTGGMTTCGGCCATGGATAGGTCTTATTAGACTTCTTAGGGATGAATTCTCAATTTGTCAGTCTGTGCAATCGTATGTTTATGCATCTCGATGGAAAAGTAAACAATTTTTGGTCCGCTCATGTTGTGATGTTTTTTTAAAGTCTACCGCCTTGAACCTACCTATAATAACCGATAAATGTTAAGTCAATTTTTATTTGTTATTCTTTCATAGAAAAGACTAAATGAATCACTCAAAAACGACTACCAGCTGTCGATGACAGAGGATGAGATAAGGTAACTAATATGCTGAACAACAATCAATGATATATCGATATGGTAAAAAAAAGTATGTTTTCCTGTAGCATGCTTTGCGCGTCGTAATCATTATGCACTGTCTTTCAYTGTCTGTCTTTGTCTTTTTTATTTTGAAAATTCCTTCTTGACAAATACAGTCTTCGATTTGCCAAAAAAAAAATCACAACACTGAGTCGTTTACTTATTATAAATTTTTTGCAGCCATACTGCATCCATACAATAAGAAAGTCTGGACATATCTTTGTGACATGGCTCGGTACTTTTGTAATTTTTGCCATATGAAAAAAAAAAAAACCTCGAAATATGCCTTATTTATGATTGCTGATGACAATCATTAAAGATTGTTTCGGTAAGGGTTTTTTTTGTTGCTTTGAATTATGTAGGATTAAGTCGAAATTAGACGAAGATTATTTAAAAAGGATATATCAACGATAGGCCTTAATTTTTCCCTTCCCCTTAGGCCTCCTTGAGTCTCCACTTTTAAGTAAAATACGGTCAGGTCATTGAAATGTCCTCTGAAAATCCGCCATGTGTTTCACTTCTTCTTGTCTCATGTCCTCGAATTAACGTGACTTGCGCGCGCTAGATTACCATAAATTGTGTTTTTGAGTATTTTACTTATAAAGCAATTTCATAATCTTAATTGATTTAAATAAATTGAAGATAGTTCCATCACTGGCAAGAGGAAAAAGGGTAAGACTTATTAGAGGAGCTCCCGCGCGGGCCCGCGGTTTATTRAGGTCATCTTTGTGCATGTTTTCAAAATCTTGAGGTTGGCATTTTTCCTCACATAATTCTCGTAAAATCTTGATTGCTCGTTTAGTCGATTTTTAAGTGCATGTAGAATCCTTGTCTTCTAGTAAATTGAATATTTCCGCCTATCCGCGGCAAGAAAATCGGGAAGACTCCATGTTTAATCTGATGTTTCGTGAAAGAAAACCTTTGAATGAATTTTGCAAGAGCGCGCTCAAATGTGTTGCTTTCTGGTTTCCGGTTTTTATATTTTTTCAATCACGTGACTTCCGGTTTTGTTATTTCCGGTCCATAACATAATATTCCCCTCCCAGAATGGTCGCCAGGAAACAATCTCGACCAATAGAAATTTGAAAATTGAATTTTGACACTTGGTATGTCATATATATATATATATATATATATAATATGCGCTTGTACACGTATCCGGATATTTTTGTATCCGCAATTTTTTTTTGCGGATGCGGGTTGCGTCCACACGTGTCCGCAAATGTTTGTTGGCGTATCCGCAAATTTTACGAAAATGGATACGTGTGGACGGTGAAAACGATTCGAATACGCTGCGTGTGGACGCGAACATTTTCGTATCCGCAAAAAATTATGGACGGGGCATAAATCAGATACAGAATCCTGTTCATTTGCATAARCCTTAAGATGGATTTTCTTGGCCAGATTCACTTTTATCTTAAAAATYTTAGCGAAACACAAAGGAACTAACCTAGACGTTTCATAAGGCTACGCCTCGAGTTTGTATATCGGATACAACACAGCCACTCATACTGTATATATTACATGCTATCGTAATACTTCCATGTTGTATGTCTAGTGACAACCTGATAGAGATGCATGTCTACTTTGCGGACCTGGACTACGTTCATGTAGAGGAGACACTCAAATATGAGGTAGGATTGAAAAAAAAAGAAATATATATATAGATAGTATTCAGATGATGTAATTTATAYGTGAAACCTATCTTACTTGGATTTCCTCTCTTTTGTTTTTGAGATGACGAATCTATTGATTGCTCTCAATAAATCTTGAGATCATTTCCGTGTTYACATTAGGAAGATTGATTTTTCCTATCCTAATCTTTACTCGTTCCATAAGGCCCCGTCCACACGTATCCGCAATTTTTTGTATCCGCAATTTTTTTTGCGGATACGGGTTGCGCCCAAACGTGTCCGCAAATTTTTGTGGCCGTATCCGCAAATTTTGCGAAAACAGACACGTGTGGAYGGTGAAAACGATTMRAATACGCTGCGTGTGGACGCAAACATTTTCGTATCCRCATAAAATAATTTGCGGATACAAAAATTTCCGGATAYGTGTGGACGGGGCCTAAGACTCTGGAAAAAAAAAGTGCACATTTGGCATTTTATCATCCATGATTTTATAGTACGTCTTTTATTTTCTTTTTTCTTTTTTCTGATTTCGATTTGTGTTTATATAGTTTCAAGAYATAATATCCAATGTTGGTGGTCAGTTGGGGATGTGGATTGGTGTCTCCGCTCTCTCTATAGCTGAAGTCGTCGAGCTCTTCATTATTGTAGTTAATTTTCTTATCAATAAGAGGAAAACGCAAAGTGCTGTTAATGTTCAGCGTATTGAGGTGACACAAAGTGACGSCAGGTGAAAATCAATTGGTGAGAAGAAGGTGAACTGAGTCACATGACATGCAAGGCATGCTTTGAGTAAATAATACTGTGCGTTCGCAACACAGTCTATTCACAACAAGCACGCTAGAACGAGCACGAATTAAAGATTTAGTCGTTGAACTGATATGTCAGTGTTTAAGTTAAACTAAAATCAAGCAGTCGGTGGATAAGATGTCATTCGATACTGTATTGGCACTAAAACAACCGGTAAGATTGCAGTTTCCATTACTCAATAGTAGAATAACAGAACASGAGTCTTGCTTCTTTTTATAAGAATTATACTATATTGATTATTTTGATATCATCTTTAAATACGATTGTAACATTAGTGCATGAACAGCCTAGTTGCATGTTGCACATAAAATCATTAAGMATTACTGCAGTCTGTATCGTGAAATGGAGAGAAAACAGGAATATTGTCAAATGTATGCAAGTGTATGCTACTGAATGTCATCTGATATTGACATTAAAATGAAGGATGTTTTAGATACAAACAACACAATAAACCCACGAAAAGTTGTTTTTTTAAAACTAAATTTAAAACTAAATTTAAACTAAATCRACAGTTTTTGTATGACCGTGAAAACGTTGCTGCCGTAGGTGTGCCTTGCTGCGACCGTCATAATGAAGCTTTTTTTTAACGCAATGTGATTAATCTGGGAGTGCCATAATAACCCATCCGCGGCCGCAGTCCTCAACGTGTTTGTGCAGTGTTTCGGGTATAGTATTTGATTGGATGCAGAGCAAACTTTMGCACATTATGATTGGTCTGGCGTATGCCTTGCCGCTTCGCGACCGTGTTCATGCCGGGTGGATCAAGGGTGGATGCAGCCAGAATCTTTTTTTTTTCGGTGGGGGGAGGGGAAGTGGAGGGGAGGGGGGCYAATTGAGTTTAGGAGAGGCTAATTGAGTTCTTCCGTCAACACAATGGAAAACAATAAAAAAATGCATCTAATTCTTCAGTTTTGCTTGTTTTGTTTTTTGATTTTCTGCTGAAAGGGGCTTTAGCCTCTCAATGCCCCCCCCCCCCCC